AAAAAACTCGATCCCCTACTGAGAATTGATCTCAAACTATATTATCGCCAAGCGTCCACTCTACCACTTGACCACACAAGATCCTCTCCAACAAGTATATCTTAAAACCAGGCCAATGGTAAATTTTTTGCCGCGGTGTACCCAGGCCAAAGCCCACGATTTCACTAGGTACACCGCCGCGGTTTACGCAGGCCAAAGCCGATGGTTTCGCTAGGTACACCGCCGCGGTGTACGCATCCACTTCGTTTAAGTAAACATCTTCTTTCGTTTTCACACAGTCCTCATTGAAATAAAGTAGAGAGGAATATTATTGTTATTTTAAAACATTGTAGTCTTTAATTTTGCTGTTGGTAGTGAAATTGTTTAAATTTTCAGCATGGATGACGATTTTATAAATACCAGTGGGGAAACTTTTGAGGATTTATCTAATGTAGGGCTAGATCTTGTAAATTCCGCGAGTTTGGTGGAGTTCGCTGAAACTGAATTAATTTCAAAAAGAGAGGTAATGATAATGTCATTTTCATTTGTTCATAATAAATTATGCCGGGTTATGCCATAATGATAATGCACTCGACTTTAGAATTGGAATATTTATACACTTAATTCAACTTTTCCAAACTTACTTAATACTTTTACTTAGTAGTATTACCAACTTAATTTAGTTGAGATGAGTAATTAGCTGGCAATTTTCTGACTGCAGGGGTGGCTCTTTACTCTTTTTATTAATTTAACAATACAATTTTAAATAATTTATAAAAATAAAATGGGTCCACTCTAGTAGTCTTCACTACAAAAGGTTGCAGGCCCCTGCCTTAGTCACAGTTAGCTATCTTTGACAAAGTGATTGCGCAGCATGGTCCACCGTAACCATGGTGCTATAAATGAAGGGGAAAAAGGGTCACCACAACTAAATAATTAATTAACTTAGTCAAACCAAATTAATTTCCAAAATTTCATTTTTATTTTATTGGCATTTTAAATTGAATATGGCATGAAATTCAGATAAAACTCTTCTCCACATCCCTTAATAATAGTAATAAAGACATATTGAAGGTACCATGTCATACTCATGTCCATGTCCATAGGCTAATCACTTACAGTAAGTTACAGGCTTGGGCTTAAGACTTGAGTATAGAGTGTACCCAGAGAGTGTACTAAATATCAGACTACTTTTAAGTTAAGGGACTTTCAATCTAACTAAACTACATGGATCTTTGATTAACAGATCATATACTTGAGGGCGGCTAAAAATCTTTGATTAACAGATCATATACTTGAGGGCGGCTTACCAGCCCGTTCGCTGGATCTATCACAATTTAACTTATTTCTTCTTTCAATTCATGATTATTTTCATTCTTCGCACTTTGAAATATATATACAACCCTTTTTTATGACGGTATGCACCATTTTGGTGTACTAGCCCCTCTTTTGGGACTGATTTAAAAAAAAAAAAGGTTTAATTAGTAATCTTAAATAAAAAATTTAAAACAATATAGATAACTATTTAGTGAATATTTAAAGGATTCATACAAACACAGCTAGGTAAATGGAACCTAAATTTTCAGTAGCATTTATTCGCTTTTGTTCGATTAAGTGTATATTGATGCAAAACTAAATTCAGGTAAGAGCCGAAATGCATTTTCAATTTATGAAAAATTTTGGGGGAAAGGCCCCTTCCCTTTCGCTCTGGAATCTTGGGTGACTGGCCACAATTTCAGTTCCACCAACTCACTTTCATTGATCCAAATTACAATGATGGTGACCTATTTATTTACAATAAACTAAAACACCGAATAGGCCTACAGATATACTAAATAAAGTGTAATATTTCTATTTTAAGCTATACAATTTATTTATGCGTGAGGCAGCACAATAGATTTTTTATCATCTGAGAATCATGTGCATTAAGAATAAATAAATAATGTTTATTTGGGATTTAAATTTACGTTTAATGACATGCTGCCCACAAAGATTTGCTCGCTATCAAAATGGCCAGTGAACCCATTTGTGTTGGTCATCCCTTATGTTACTGTATTTATGTAGTGAAATTTCAAATCGGAAGTAAAAAAATTGATGTTAGCATATTAACAAATATATTTCTTAACAACTGCTTTGGTGCAGTGTGTAGAAAAAAATTCCAGGCTTTTTATCTTAATTTATACAGAAAGTTAAAATCTAAACAATTTTTTTTTATGTACCAATTTTTTATCCATAACTTTTTGTAATTATGGAACTATAATCATAACTAATTATCAAAATTTGTTGGACGATATGACCACAATGTTATTTGAAGATTCACTGATTAAAAAACTAAAATTATTTTTATTTCTAATGCAAAATTTCATCCTCTAAAATTTTATCATAATCATAAAATTCTGTACACTGAGAGTATTTCATGATTATAAACAACTTTCATTTCAGGTTGAATTAATGACTGAAGGTGTTCGACCAGCAACTACCGAAGAACTTGTTGGGATGTTACAACAGGCTGGCACTGAGCTGACTGTTAAATATTTAACAGGTTCTGATTCATATACCTCATGACAACTTGTGTCTAATAATAATAATATAGTAGCCGTTTAGCTAGCATATGTAATGAGATAGTGTAATTAGTGTGAAAGTAAAAAATGTAGAAACACAATTTAAAAAAAAAATGTTTGTATTGTTAAGCCCTAATGTTTTCTTTTCAATTGGGGACCTTTTCTTATTTTATAATAAATTTGAGATTATAGGAATCTCAATAATCCTACCAGTATTGGGAACTAATATTTATGGGAGCTAATTTAATTCTTAATGGTTTCCATGATAATCCATTTCCAATCTCTAAAGGCAGAAAATTTTTTTAAAAAGATTTTCAAAATGAAATGGACTTTTAAAACATTTTTAACCTCATTTTCTCCTTCTAATTTTAGGGGAGTTGAGCTTGGAGGATTTCTGCTTGGAACTGGAAAAGTCTAAACCAAAGTCCAAACCAAAATCCGAGGCCTCCACCTCTGCAACTTCAGCTCCAAATATTCCAGCTTTCGACCAGTTGATAGAAGAGGGTGATGAAGAGGATATGGACGATGAGGAAGAAGAGGATGATGATGAAGAAAGTGAAATTGTTGAGGGGGAGGAATATGCAGACAAAAATGATGAGGAATGGGTACCTAAGATTAGGGGATCTAAACAAGAAAAAGATAAAGGTAAAAATGTTGAGTCTATATTGTATATTATTTATTATTGTGTGCACAGAAGTAGATGACTGAGGAGGGTGGGGGTGGTTGAAGGGTGCTGCTATTATATCAACTGCTTTAACGCCTAGTCATTATTATTGCTTTTCTGTTTTATCTTAAACATTCTTGAGGAATAGAAAATTAACTAAGAATTAGTGATGAGATATTTAAAAGCAAATAATGACATTATATGCATTCTGTTAATATTTTTATAAAATTATAAAATCCTATACTTCTCGCTTTATGGAAGTTAACCCTTTTTTTATTGACAGGCAAAAAGGGAAAGAGTAAAGATTCTAAAGGAGACAAGAAAAACCAAACTCTTGGAGAGGTTAAAAAGAAACGAAAAAAGGTATTTCATTCATAAGACATTGTGCATTTTTCAATATGTAGGTCTATTTAACTGACACTTGACAAAAAATTTAGACCATTTTCTCACTTAGTCTCTTTTGAGAACAAAAACACTATCAGTGTTAATTAACATTTTGAAGCCGGTAACAAATGACTTGATTGTGTTTCAACTGTAGGTAAATGGTTTGTGCATTTTGAGAGTGAGATTTGATGATGGATGCATCAGACTTTGATAATTGTTTGAAGGATGCTTTTTTTAGCATGTTTATTAAACATTTAAAAATTTCAAATAATTTCAGGGACTTAATAATTCTGTCTCTTTTACTTTTTTTTTTTTTTTTTTTTTTTTATTTTCATAAAAATAAGAAACGAAAACAATTTGATTTGCCCAAGGAGATGGCAGGTTTGATTGGTCAGGCAATTTTGATGAGGGCACAAGGAAAAACTGATGAGGCTGTCGGCCTTTTATATGACATTATAAACAGAGGTAGGTCAGATAGGAATTAAGCTTAAAAGACATCAATAGTTTATTGCATTCTCCTGAGATAATAAGTTCCAATTAAGCTTAGATTAGTGCAGCAGAGAGATATAAAAAAATCACTTTAGCACATCATTGTTTCAGCTCTTATGTAATGTGAATGTTAATATGGCTAAATGTATAAACATGTGTAAGGATTTTACAGGTTCTTGTTGAGACGTTTTTGTAATGATGATTGACTTATCATAGCGTTGCATTGTTAAATGGATCCTGAAGGATGTTTTAAAGTGGTACACAAAAATTTTGTTTTAATATATTGTTTTTTTTTAACATAAATTTTCAGATTAAAATTTTAATGTTAAGTTATTTCTTTATGTTGAAATAATGATTTGCTTATAATTTTTATAAAGACTTTTATAATTTTGTTTAAAAAATAAATTACACTTCAGTACAATGTTGGTTTTAGAACTATGGACTCTTGGGCATATGCTAATAATTCTAATGTGACCAGTGTATACACAGCTATGTTAAGCTTCAAACTGGGCTTTTAAAATTAAATTATTATTATTTTCTTTTGTGAGACTGAAAATGTTGAATGTAGAAAAGGTGTTGATGGTAGAGCAGCTTAAAATGTGGTTTTACCATGTACTGATTATTTATGCTCATCACTTGTGTTTCCTTATTATGTTTACATTCAGCCAACATGTTGTACATTGTATTACCACAGCTCCAAAAGCTGCACTCCCGTACCATACGTTGGGCAGCATACACGAGGAGAAAGGGGATTTGCAACAAGCCCTCAAGGTATAAGACCCTCTCATTTCATTTCATGACGTTCAAAAGGCATTAATATTAGGGCTGTACTTTTATTTTTTAAGATTGTTGCCCAGTAGTGGTAGTGGCTTTTTTTTTTGATGTAGTTACATCCTGCCTTCTGTTTCTCATGGCAGAAATGTTTCAATGATTTAAAGTCCTATTATTTTTGTCAGTTTTATATGGTGGCTGCCAACCTCAGAGGTTCACATGCCACTGAGTGGATGCACCTTGCTGAGATGTGCATTAGCCTCAACGATGAAAAGCTGGCCGTCATATGTTTTTCCAGAGGTAAGTTTTGTTTGCTTTTTCCATTACCTAACAACATAGATGGACTGCGTCATTCGCTCTAACAAAAGACTGAGAGGAGATTTTGATCCCATTAATTAACCCCGTTTAAAAAAGGTATTACGGGTTCTGTGTTATATCCTTTCATCTTTTGTTTATTATCACTTGTCAGCAAAGGCAATAGAAAGTTGTCTTCAAGTCATAAAAATGTGACCTATTTGTTGATGACATAGTGGCCAGTATTTTTTGTTTTTCTTCCAAGATAGGGCAAACCTTGCATGTTAAGCTTGAAATAATAATATTTAAAAATCATAGCATTTTGCCAGGACCAAAATATCTTTTTATTCCATTAACTGTAGTTTAAATTAACATTTTTACCTTCAGCCATGAAGAATGCTACAACCAATCTTGGGAAGCTGGAGGTTCTGACAAGGAAATGTGACTTCTTTGAACAATATCCCGTCAAGGTTCTTCAGTGCAGGGAACAGATGTTACAGTTCATGGACAAAACAAGCCCAAGCACAATACTCACTTTAGCCAGAAACATAGCCAATGTTAGTGTGAGCTTCTTGTGTTCACAAAGATTTTCTTTCAGCTTAATACATTTTATGTGTTGTTGTTTTTGGTTAATTGGCAAAATGTTTTGGTTAGCTCGGCAAAATGTTTTGGTTAAGTTGGCAAAATGTTTTGGTTAACTTGGCAAAATGTTTTGGTTAACTTAGCTGGGGGATTAATTTACCCGTCAAAACTTTATTTTCAGAAAAATTCTATACATTTTACATATGATTGTGATTAATCAGTTTATGAAGAGTGATTGGATGTTTGATTAAATATTTTTTGAAATGTAAATCTTAAAAGAGCTCAGATTCTACATTTCTTTGAATATATTGACAGGACTACATGGAGTTGAAGGAGGAAGATGGGGCCATTTCTGTCTTACAGTACATTCACAAGGAGTTTCCAAATGAAATTGACTCTGAAGGTGCTTACCCTTGTTATTTTTTTTTCTAAATTTTGGAAGTTGGTGATGCATGTATGTGTGTGAGTGTGTTGCTTGGGGAACCATCATTCAGAAATCTATCTGTTGTGTCAAACGAAATCAATCATGAACACCCTAGCACTTCTTTAGGCGTAATGGTTTTTTTTTACTGGTCAGTTGGTTTTACAATTTTATGTAATTTCTTTTTTAATATGTGAAAAAATATTTTCTACTTTCTTTGTTTTCTTTAGATGTTCACAATTTGGCTGAACTTCTGATGTCACAGAAAAGTTATGAAAAAAGTTTAGAGGTAGTTTGAAATATGGGCTAATGTTGTAATTATTTTTTAGGCAATTTATAAACGGTGACTGCAAAAAACATGTTTTGTTTTTAATGTTTTTAGATTTGTGAAATAATTTTTGTTTACTTATTTGGTCAGATAATTATTCGTCACTGTGGAGTTGAGATCACATTCCAGGGGTGCTCACCTGCAGCTGAGGAGTTGTTGACTCGAATTGAGAAGTTTGCAAACAAGGAAATCACGTTAGATAGGTCAGTTTTGTTATGATAAGTGATTTGATTGACTATAAAACTTTAATGTAACAAAACTTTTAAAAAAAAAATTAAGTCTGAGGTGGAAAATAAATGATGTTAACATAAAATTTAAATGATGTTAACATAAAATTTAAATGATGTTAACATAATATTTAAATGTTAACATAAAATTTAAATGATGTTAACAAAACGAATGTTCAATACACTAAAAAAAAAAACAATAAAAAAAACACAAATGTAATTCTATCTTGGCTTTAAACAAAATTGAATACCATTTTTTTAAAATGTATATTTACATGATTTTTATTTTGTATTTTCCCTAGTCTGAAATTTCCAGTCTTGATGCCGATTGATCTGAAATCAAAACTTGTCCAGTGTCTGTTATTCACCAAAGCTTTGTCCACATTACATGTTATTGAGGTAAGTATAACTGACCTATGTCAGCTCCTCAAATATCAACTTTTATAACATTAAATTCACTTGCCCAGAGTACTTAAATACTCTGGAAAATGTATTGGTGGACCTTTGTTGCCGCTGTAGTGCAACTGATTCATATCCAGTAGAAAGCTGGTTTGAACATCTGTAGAATGGACTGGTCCACAATGCAGTAGTTTGTGGGGGAGTGGGAAAACAATGACTAAACAGACTCAAACCACAAAAAGTCAGAAGAAAGCATCCTACTTGGATTAGTCTTTAAAAGTCATCTTGTCTATGGCTGTTTTGTGCAATGGTTTACAAATCTACGTTTAAACAAAAGTATTGTTGTGTTTGTTTAAGAATAGGAAAGAAAGTGTGTTTAATTATCTTGAATAATATTACTTTTTTTTTACAAATTTCACAATAGGATTTAATCAAGAGCTTGCTTGATACTGATGTTGAGCAGTATGGGGACATACACTACGATATAGCTGAGACCATGGTGGAGTGTGGCTACCCGGAGGATGCCAGGCCTATTCTTAATTCACTGGTCCATTCAGAGAAATATAGCAAGGTAGGAACATTGATCAGCTGAGATATTTTTGGCTTGGTTTTTATGGTCCAAGTTACCTTACAAAGAATTCCATTGTAAGGTACAAGACTTTACGCTGTATGGAAATTTTGACTTGTACATTTTTTATTAGTTCAGTTGTCTGTTTTGCCCAAGTTATATTCATAAAGTGAATTCTGGCACCCATCTGGAATTTTCAAACTTGTTGTAGGCTGCAGTGTGGCTGACCTATGGTCAGTGTTTGAATGCCCTGGGAGACATAAAAGCTGCTGCTGAAGCCTACACACAGGTAGTGGAAATGGCACCTGGACATTATGGGGCAAGACTTATTCTTTCATCACTGCTGCAACAGATGGGACAAAATGAAGTTGCCCTTGAGGTACTGTCTAAAGGTAAGTTTACATTTTTTGTTTTTGATTTCTCTTCAAAAAATTTTTTTAAACAGAATTCCCATTTAAATAATAAATGTTTAAAAAAACTCAGTTTCTGTAAAGCCGCCCTAATGATATTAAGTGTATTTCCATCTGCTTCCTTTGAAAGGCCCGGCAGAAGAAGGGGAAGCCACCGCTGACCAGCTGTTGTTGATACACAAGTGTCAGCTGCTCCACTCCCAGGGCAAGATGGATGAGTTCATAGACACTGCCAGAAAACTCTTGTCCTATCATTTCCCTGGGCTGCTGAAACCTGACTTAATCAAAGGTCTGTGGTCAAGATCAGAAACAAATATATGCCCAGATATATTGCTGAAAAATGTTATTGTTGCCGACTGCTTGTTTTTATTTTGTTTGTTTGTTATTTCAAATTAGAGTTTGCACAATTTAAATCATGATAAGAAAACATTACACAATTGATATTTTATTAATTTGAAGGTGTTTTTTATGTGGATAAATAAAACAAAGAGTTTGTAAAATTTATTCTTACAGTCGAACCCGCTTATCTCGACCTCGGTTAACTTGCCAACCCTGTTAAGTCAATGTTTTTGAAGTGGAACCTCCAAGATCTCTCTTTGTCTTGGCATTTTCTTCTCCGTTATGTCGATTCTTTTATGTCGCCGAACCCTGATATCTCAAGCACAAAAGGCGGCCAAATTTGCCACTTAACCTCAGTTATTTCGATCCCAATGACCGATCGCCGGCTTTTGAAAATTATATACAACAGAAACGTGCCTACTTCAAACTGTAGTAATTGAAATGAAATGACAATCTAGTTGTCCATACAGTTAACTTAACAGCAAAAAGCGAGGAGTGAGAGGCTTGCAAACAAAAGAGAGAGGTCGCAGTACCTGTTCTTTTTATAGCAACCCGCTTGTCTCTTAATATAGGCTTTCATGCATTCTTACGGGTTAATTTTTTTTTAAAACCCAGAATACATATTTGAATAAACTGAGCTGGCGAATCCGGAGCAAGAGAAAATAAAATCTCGCGAATCTGGAGCTGAAAAATATTTGGTCTCACGAAACCGGAATTCCGGGAAAATCCAGAAAAGTGGCACCCCATTTATGCCTTGTGCTGTTAGCAATTATGTCCATTTTTATAGCATGCCGATCGCATCATCAAACAAATCGCGGTAACGCTTTTGTGTAAGAAAAAAAAACTCCCAAAACATATGCATGTACATCTCATTTATAAACGCACATCATGTAAATAAAGAAATTTCAAGCACATGTTAACATATTGCCACCATATTGGTTTTTGTTCATCTTGATCATCGGTTATCTCTGCGCTTTTTGGCAAACCCCAAGGCCTTCGACATCATCGGGTTCGACTGTAATTGTTTTTTTAAATCATTATTTTTCTGATGAAGAGAGGCTGTGTTTTTAAAAAAAACTGATTGTAATCTTATAAGGTTGTTCGTTTAAAGAGTTTTTCTTTAAATTTTGGGTTTACAAGAACTTTGTCTGCTGCATGGGTTGATGTTTTTCTTCTCTCTCTGTTTCAGTTTTGCTGGGGATGAGAACCACTAAAAGTAGAAGGAATATTTTACCACAGATGACAGGCAACGCTAAGAAATCAACCAAAGGTATAGTAATAGAAAATAGTACCAACAGTACAAAGTCATATAAAAGTATCATCTGCACATATGGGCACACGGCAGTTTTGTTAATCTGCCATGGAAGGTATTGCTCTACCAGTCAAAGTGTGCCAGCAGCCGATGCCGTTCCACTGTTTGATAGGACTTCTTCATTGTTTTGTGATCAAGGTACCTGACCCTCATCATTTACATGCATATTTAAGGAAATACTTTCAATTTCTTGGCTGTAATGTTTATCATTTACCATCTCTTACTGGGATAAATACCAGTCGGAATGAGAATGCTGGCAACCATGGGAGATATACTGTACCAAAGAGATGTACCTTGCAACAAACACATTTTGTGCTGACCAAAAAGATGTACTGTACAAAATTCATAGTCTGCTGACGAAAGAGATGTACTGTACAAGATTCAAATTGTGCTCACCAAACTGTACACTAAAGTATATTTAAAATCCTCCCAACTTAACTCCACACTTTCTTTCAATGTCTCATTCATTGGAGACTGTGTTGCCAATTTATATGAATTTATTGGCCTGTGCTCACTGCCTCCTATAGTTATCTGGTTGTGATATTATTAGTCTTTAAGTTCAATTAACACCATTTAAGCATCTAAATATTCTACTCGTTCATCTGATGCTATCAGGTTGTCTCCATTCTCCCTCTTTGACATCAAATTTATGTTTCTTCTAAGACAAGCCTTCAGAGACAGAGACATCGGAGAATAAAACTTTTAAAGAAGGGGAGGCGAAAAAATTTCGTGCCACATTGTGGGATGTCTATGTGAAGGTGAGTAAAGGAATTTACTGTTGGTCTAGTTTTCTGGCGTTCTAAATATTTGTTTAGTTGCACCACTCAAAAATTTCAAGTACCACCACGTGCATGTGAAGTCAGTCAACTTTAAAAAAAAATTTTTACGATGTCATTTTGTTTACATCTCCGTGTACCACATGGAACAACCTAAAATACAGTTAGTGAATGTTAGGTCCAGTTCATTCTTTGTGAAATATGATTGTTCTTTTGAAGGCATCTGTGATGTTTGCCTCTCTTATCCATGATACTTTAATGCAATTATATACAGTTGCCCCTCATTTATTGTAATTAATCAGTTCCCAACTCTACCACGACAAGCATATTTCTGTAAAGAGTAATTCTTTATTTATTATTTGAATATTTTCGTAGTTAGAACATAGAAAACCTGTTCACGACCACCTAAATATGGTTTTTAACATTATGAGACCCTTTGTGGGTGCTTGAATACATTGGCCTAGTTCATGCATACAGAAAATTTAATTGCAATACAGGGGTGTATGATTAACTCAAAAATCTGAACGTGCACCTATCATTTTCACTATTGCGATCTATGTAATGAATACATGTTATATATGAGAAAACCTAAATAGAGTAAAGCTGCCCTATGCTGCCTTCAAACCTCAGGGCACCTGCCCTATGCTGACTTCAAACCTCAGGGCACCTGCCCTATGCTGCCTTCAAACCTCAGGGCACCTGCCCTATGCTGCCTTCAAACCTCAGGGCACCTGCCCTATGCTGACTTCAAACTTCAGGGCACCTGCCCTATGCTACCCACTCCTATGTAAACCCAGCTGTTGACTCAACAAATAAGTAAAAGCCATTAAGAAAACTATGAAGATATTCAAGTAAACTTTTAACTTTGACTAAAAGTATGTACAAAAAAACCAACTCATGATGTCATGAAAGTTATTTGTCCTAACAGGTGTTGAATTTTGATGTGACTAGAAATAGGCCGAACTTCCCATCCTCCTAAAGTTACTTGACAAAATATGCATTCAAGTGACCCACTTTATAAGAATCTGAGCCAGTGCTAACTTCTAGGAATTTTATTGTGCTAACATATTCAAATTAGTGTTGCAGTCATACTACCGAGAGTAATTATTTTTGATTCTATAAGAAGGAACCCATATGTTTTTTTTAATGTGTTTTTCCATTCCAGGCTTGCAAAGCCATGCATGACAAAGGAATGACAAGTGAACTGCTAGAGACAGCCTCTCTGGGTCTGGTCTGCCCGATTTTCTCTTATGATCAAACAATGGTCAAGGTAATTATTAACTAACAAACGTTTAAACATATCCACAAGCATGTTTCTGTAAATATTTACCAGCATTGTTTGCAGAAGGGGAAAATTCACTTCGAATGAATCATGGGAATGTTCACAAATATATTTTTACACACACACAAATACCTAAGAATTTTCCATGTGTCCAACAAAAATATTTGAAATTCTAAGAGAATGTTGGATTATTTTTTTAATTTAGAAATTCATTGTAACCAATGATAAAAAATAATTACATAAAAAATAAAAAAAATTATTAGAAGGTCCAAATAAGGACAAGTATGAAAATTGGTGATAATTCAGGTAAAAAATTAGAATGACCAGAATACAATCATTAATTACTTAAGTTTGCTCAGACAGGAGCAAAGAATTGCAATATATTATATTTTATCTTGCAGGATGCAGAGTTTTTATGTTTAAAAATGTGTCCAGTTGGGATGAATATCTACCACCTGGCAAGGGGTTTGATGGTTGAAGTAAGTATTTGACAAGTACAGCTTGTTTTTTTAATAAGAACATCTCAGGTGTTGTATTATAGTGAATACATCTTGGGCCAATACAAATTCACAATATAAAAAAATGTTATATAATAAAATGACATAAAATTAAATTTTACAGGTCTGTTCTATGACATATCCTTAAATCAGCAGCATTATGATCCTTCTAGAACAGTGGTCCTCAAACGTTTTTCAGCCAAAGCCCCTGGCTCACCCCAATTATAAGAATCATATATTTTTCAAAAACATAATAAAAATTAAAAGTGTTACATATATATATATATTAATAACATAAGGTACTTAGCATAACTTTTTAAATAGATGGCTTTTGTTTCTCTTTCGTCAGGAAAAAGACAATCCACAAGCCTGGAACTTGTACTGCTATGTGGTCACTCGTCTCAAGGAGGTCACTGACCTGCGATATGCTGTCAGAGGACTTATGAAGGTAGGAAGTACTTGTCTTATTTAGAAACCTTGTACGGTGAATCTGGTGCCCAGCTGTAGGGGGCAGATCTGTGGGTGGCTGAAGACCCTAGATGTTATGTATGGTGTAGGGTTGGAGGTTATGTATGGTGTAGGGTTGGAGCTAATGTATGGTGCAGGGTTGGAGCTAATGTACGGTGCAGGGTTGGAGGTTATGTACAGTGCAGGGTTGGAGGTTATGTATGGTGTAGGGCTGGAGCTAATGTATGGTGCAGGGTTGGAGGTTATGTACGGTGCAAGGTTGGAGTTTATGTACGGTGCAGGGTTGGAGGTTATGTATGGTGTAGGGTTGGAGCTAATGTATGGTGCAGGGTTGGAGGTTATGTATGGTGTAGGGTTGGAGGTTATGTATGGTGTAGGGTTGGGGTTGGAGTTAAAACAACATTTTGAAAAAAAAAGTCACTGTTATAATTTAATAATTATGTTTCAGAATCCCAATAGCTTGGCTCTCGGAATGCTTAATGGAAATTCCCGATTGATTTCAGGAACGTATAAACAGGCTCTGGGTAAATTTATTAGTGGAATGTTTATCATGTCTTTATGGCACACTGGGGACTTGTAACTTGGCCCTAGGGCTTCCAGAAGAAAAAAAAGTCAGCATTGCGAATGAGGCCATTTTTTTTTTCATATGTATGACCAGTTCATGACACATGGCCGCCAGGGTTTATAAACTTACCGTCCAACCAACCACACAACATAGGCATGTGGCCAATCAAATAGAGTTTTCTCTTAAGTTTGTTAGCCTTGGAGGAATCAGTGTCCATCACCATGCATTAATTTTATAATTGCTGACCATGAAACTTACAATGTGGGACATGCACAAACTTTTTAAGAATTTCAACAAATCTTTCATTTGAATCTAACAAAGAGATAAGCTGCTTGCATCTAGTCTGTGATATCAAAAATGACATCAGGCATCACACATCAGGCATCACACATCAGACATCACTCATCAGAGATCAGACATTCGATAATTAAGTTCATTTCTTTAACGCAGGAGAGTACCTGTCAGTGTTTCGAAGAACTCCGGACAATGACATGGCCCTCCTGTGCTCAGCCCTGTGCCTGGCCCACATCGCGTCCCAGTCCTTCACCAGCAGGAAGAATCCACACATAATACAAGTAAATAATGGCTTCATTAGCATTAGGCATACCATAATACAAGTAAATAATGGCTTCATTAGCATTAGACATACCATAATACAAGTAAATAATGGCTTCATTAGCATTAGACATACCATAATACACGTAAATAATGGCTTCATTAGCATTAGACATACCATAATACAAGTAAATAATGGCTTTATTAGCATTTAGAGGCCGACCGAAAGTGATTTTCTGATTTCGGCCGAAGCCGAAAGTTTAAAATGACTTTCGGCCGAAACCGAAAAAATACCGAAAGTTTAAAAATGACTTTCGGCCGAAACCGAAAAAAGGCCGAAAGTTAAACATGAATTTCGGCCGAAACCGAAAATGAAATATTAAGATATTTTGAAATTCGTTCCCGCATACATTCTGCATACATCGAAAATGATGTGGGAAAGTATAAATATTTACATTCTTTTTATAAAAAATGGGATAATCGTGAATATTAATAAATAAACATCTAATATAGGGGTTTCAAACTCGCGGCCCGCGAGCCATTTGTGACCCGCAAGACGATATTTTGCGGCCCCTACATGACAGAAAAGTTTAGTGTTAATGCGTGGCCCGTTTCCCCCATTCTCATAGCTATAACGTGACTCTCCGCGACGGTTTCAGTGGAATCTCACCGACTAGTCGAATTCTAAATTTTAAAAAAAAATAATGTTTCTATATATTTTTGTATGCAACAGTGAGTAGGTAGATGAAAGTGAATCCTAGTTCTTGAGAACCCTTAAAGATTTTATTGTTATTCATAAAGGTTGAGCAGATTGTAACAGTTGTAATCGCTTTTTTGTGGATTACTTGATGCAGCCCACTCTCATTCAGACACAACCTCCTGCGGCCCCCTGATGATTTGAGTTTGAGACCCTTGATCTAATGAATACTTTGGATTTTACCATTTTAATATAAAATTAATTTCAATTGCTTTACAATTTTTTTAATTAGTATGGTAGGAGAAAATTTGGCAAAAATGGGGTGGGGGGGGGGGGAATTAATGCAAAATATTTTTTTAAACCGGGTCTCTAAAAATTGTTGTTTTGATATGGTTTTAAAAGAGCGCTTAAATTTTTTTGAAAGGTCGCTTTATTTGTTTTTTATATGGTTCTAAAAGAGCGCTTAAATTGTTCTGAAAGGTCGCTTTAATTGTTTTTAATGATGGTTTAGTTTGTTGTTAAAGATCGTTAGTTGCTTGTTATTGATCGCTTAGTTTGTTCGAAAATATCGCTTAGTTGTTGCTAAAGATCGTTTATTTTGTTCTCAAAGATCGCTTAGTTTTTGTTAAAGATCGTCCAGTTTTTGTTAATTATCGCATTATTTTTTCTTAAAGATCGTTCAGTTTGTTCTTAAAGATCACTTAGTTTGTTGTTAAAGATCGCTTAGTTTTTTCATAAAGATCCCTTAGTTTGTTCTTAAAGATAATTGATTTTTTTCCTTAAGATTGATTAGTTTGTTCTTAAAGATCTTTTAGTTTTCTGTTAAAGATCGCTTAGTTTGTTGTTAAAGATTGCTTAGTTTTTTCATAAAGATCGCTTAGTTTGTTTTTAAAGATAATTAATTTTTTTTCCTTAAGATCGATTAGTTTGTTCTTAAAGATCTTTTAGTTTTTCCTAAAGAGCATTTAGTTTTCTGTTAAAGACAGCTTAGTTTATTCTTATAAATCATGTAGTTTACTATTAAAGATCATTTGTTTTGTTCTTAAAGATCATTTAGTTCAGTCTTAAAAATCGTTTAGTTTGTTATTTAAGATCGTTTAGTTTGTTCTTAAATGTCGCTTAGTTTGTTGTTAAATATCGTTTGTTCTCAAAGATCGCTTAATTTGTTCTTAAATGTCGCTTAGTTTGTTGTTAAATATTGTTTTCACTGAGTATTAGATGACCGAGAACCTGAGTCACTTTCGGCCGGATGGCCGAAAGTCTAAGTCAATTTCGGCCAAAACCGAAGAAAAACCGAAAGTTAAATTTTCTTTTTCAGCCGCAACCGAAATTAAGCCGAAAGTTAACTTTTCAGTTTCGACCGAAACTTGGCCGAAAGTCATAAAATGGCCACTTTCGGCGCCGAAACCGAAGCCGAAATTCGGTCGGTCTCTATTAGCATTAGACATACCATAATACAAGTGAATAATGGCTTTATTATTATTAGAGTTAGACTTACTAAAAATGATCCATGAAAATAATAGACTTGGTTGACTCAAGGAAATACCTTTACTTTAAGTATATTTTGAAGATATGCCCAAAATTGACCAAAATATTCTCAGACTTTCATATCTGTCTTCCATATCTTGAGGCTTTGAATGAAATGTTGTTTTTTCTGTCACAAGCTGTGGGCAAATTGCGTAGTAAACCACACAACGATATTCAAACACTGCACTCAATGTCAGTTTGATACTTCTGCGTGACACCAATCACTTCATGGTCCAGAGAAAGAAAGCTTGGAAGGCCACAACGTTTTAGATTCCCACTCAGGGAAATTGATTCCAATTCAGAAAGACATTGATTGTGGGCCTTGGACTTTAAAACATATCGTATTCAGGGAATTCCACGCGGTGGGTTTATGTAGACGAACCTAAGGGGCTATGAATAATTATGCATTATTGCCATTTGGTAATGATTGGCTGAAATTCCAAGCTATTGCCTCATCAGGTTATTTGCTTGATGAATGCCTACAAGGAGATGCGTGGAGAATGCCAGGAGACCTACTACAACTTCGGGAGAATCCTACATCAGCTCAGTGAGTTATCTTAGTCTTCAAGTTCAGTCAACCAGTGTGTTTAAAGATTGGTCTGTTATAAGATTGGAGATTGGTCTGTTTAAAGATCAGTCTGTTTAAAGATCTGTCTGTTTAAAGATTGGTCTGTTTCAAGATCAGTCTGTTTAAAATTCGGTCTGTTTAAAGATTGGTCTGTTTAAAGATAAGTCTATTTAAGAGATCTGTCTGTTTAAAGATTAGCCTGTTTAAAGATCAGTCTGTGGAAAGATCAGTGTCTGTGGAAAGATCATTATGTTTCAAGATCATTATGTTTAACGATCAGTCTGTTTCAAGATCAGTCTGTTTAAAGAAAGTGCTCAGAAAATAGAAAGTTTGGAAGTGTGGGATAAAGATTTTTAGAAATATTTGTTGATGGATGGGGTGGGAGAGTGGGCTGTGGGTGGTGGGGGGGGGGTCTGAGTTTTGTGACAAAATCTGAGAGAATTTGAGGATCAAAATTAAAGTGGCAATAGTTACCTGACAGGTGTCTCTTGCAATGTTAAATGTGTCTCATATGTGCTTTATGTTTCTCAGGTAAGCCTTATTAGGATACAACTTCTTTTTTCAGACATTATATACGCAGCCATGTTTTATTACAAGAAAGCCTTGACCTTTCCTCCTGTTGTTGATGATGACCAGGTAAATCAATTTATAAATTAACATATCATAAAGGTTAACATTAGAAAATAAATTATTTATTTTAACATAAAATGTTATTTTATTTTCACTTGGTCTACAGATTAAGAAAAACAACAATACATAGTTTTGGTGAATTGACTCCCACATCCAGCTCAAACACACACCCACACAAACCACAAACACTCATCCCAAAACACACTCACACTCACCCCAACCACACACACACTCACCCCAACCACACAACCCAAACACACACCCCAAACACTCATCCCAAACACACACACACTCACCCCAACCACACACACACTCTGCCCAACCACACACAGACTCACCCCAACCACACAAACACACTCATCCCAAACACACACAGTCACTCTTAACACACACACACTCATCCCCACCACACACACTTATCCCAAGCACACACACACACTTATCCCAAGCACACACACACTCACTCCAACCACACACACTCACCCCAAAGCACACACACTCACCCCAACCACACAACCCACTCACTCCAACAACACAAACTCATCCCAACCACACATACACTCATCCCAACCACGCACACACTCATCCCAACAACACACACACTCATCCCAACAACACACACACACACTCACTCCAACCACACCCACTCACCCCAACCACACACACTCTCTCACTCAAACCACACACACTCACCCCAACCACACACATGCATCCCAACCACACACACTCATCCCAAACACACACACACACTCAACCCAAACACACACACTCATCCCATACACACACACTTACCCTAACACACAAACACTCACCCAACCACACACACACAGTCATCCCAACCAGACACTCATCCCAAACACACCTACTCAACCCAACCACACACACACAGTCACCCCAACCACACACACAGTCATCCCAACCTCATGCACACTCATTCCAACCACACACACACTCATTCCAAACATGCAAAAACACTCATCCCAACCACACCTACTCATGCCAACCACACACACACAGTCACCCCAACCTCACACACACTCATTCCAACCACACACACACACTCATTCCAACCATGCACAAACACTCGTCCCAACCACACCTACTCAACCAAATCACACACACACAGTCACCCCAACCTCACACACACTCATTCCAACCATGCACAAACACTCATCCCAACCACACCTACTCACCCCAACCTCACACACAGTCACCGCAACCACAAACACACAGTCACCCCAACCTCACACACACTCATTCCAACCACACACACACTCATTCCAACCATGCACAAACAGTCACCCCAACCTCACACACACTCATTCCAACCTCACACACACTCATTCCACCCACACACACACTCATTCCAACCTCACACACACTCATCCCAACCTCACACACCCTCATTCCACCCACACACACACTCATCCCAACCACACACTCTCACACACACTCATTCCAACCTCACACACACTCATTCCAACCTCACACACACTCATTCCAACCTCACACACACTCATTCCAACCTCACACACACTCATTCCAACCTCACACACACTCATTCCAACCACACACATGCTCACCCCAACCACACACCAACCGAACCCATACACAGGCCAGTGTTGCCAATTAAACAAATGATTATTTGCTGACAAATTTTTTAAGACACTTTTTGAAATAACTGAGTAAAAAAAAAATATTTCAAAATTTTTTTACCGACATCTCAAAGTTTTTTTTATTGACACCCCATGTTTTTTATGTCAACTTTTTAGAGACTGAACATTTTTTTTATGGACAGATGGCAAACCGGACACACACACACGCACACACACATGCGCGCACACAACAAATAAGCATTATAAGTTTGATGGTCAGCAAAGTTATTATTTGATACTACACAAACAATTCAGGGAACAAAGTTAGTATTTGGTACTACACAAACAATTCAGGGAACAAAGTTAGTATTTGGTACTACTCAAAAAATTCAGGCAACAAAGTTAGTATTTGGTACTACACAAAAAATTCAGGGAACAAAAGTTAGTATTTGATACTACACAAACAATTATAAATATTTTTTTTCCTATTTATCATTATGAATGGTAAAAAAAATTGTTTTTAACAGGGGACCTTTGACCTGAGCCGTGAGATTGCCTACAGTTTGGCCCTCATCTACAACAAATCTGGCAACCCAGACATGGCCAGTTATTACCTGGAGAAATACTGTACTATATAAACGAAGTTATGTAGAGTGCTAGGGTTGTATGGAGAAGTGTAAGTGGATGTGACAGGATTGTATGGGGAGGTGATAGAAGTGTAAGTGGGGGTGCCAGGATTGTATGGGGAGGTGATAGAATTGTAAATGGAGGTGCTAGAGGTGTAAGTGGAGTGCTAGGGGTGTAATGGAGGTGCTGGGGGTGTATGGGGAGGGGATAGAAGTCTAAGTGGAGGTGCCAGGATTGTATGGGGAGGTGATAGAAGTGTAAGTGGATGTGCCAGGATTGTATGGGGAGGTGATAGAAGTCTAAGTGGAGGTGCCAGGATTGTATGGGGAGGTGATAGAATTGTAAATGGAGGTGCTAGAGGTGTAAGTGGAGTGCTAGGGGTGTAATGGAGGTGCTGGGGGTGTATGGGGATGTGCCAGGGATTTATGTGGAGGTGCCAGTGGTGTACAGTGTAAGTGGAGGTACTAGGCGTGTAAGTGGAGGTACTAGGGGTGTATGCTGAGGTTCTGGGGGTGCATGTGGAGGTGCTAGGGGTCTATTTTGAGGGGATAATGGTGAATCTTCAAGGGATAGAGGTGTGTGTGGAGTTGCTACCACATGTGTGTGTGGAAAAGTAAGTGGGGACTACAAAGATGCTGGTCCAGAAATGTATTGAGTTTGTCCTAACCATGTACACAATGTGTACAATGTAAATTAATGTAAATATAATTAAAGCAACTAACCTGTGAAAATTGTTTTATTAAAAAAAAAAGTATTTGATTTGATTTTTAGGGATTTGTATAGGAGTGAAGAGGGGGGGGGGGGCTATGATCGTTTAGTGCAGAGCTCTGCAACCGTTTTTCACATGCGGGGCGCCATCCAAGGGCCTGCCCATAATTCCGGGGGCACACCACAAAGAACACTAGTTAACATTCATAATGTCTTGTAATAAAGGTATTGCTCAGTATTGAACACATTTCTGTTATTGGTATGGATATGAAGCTGACCAATGTCCTTTGTGATTTTGTAGTAACACAGTTTGACCATATTTACATGACTCTGTGCTTTTTCTCTCCGTGGAGGCATTTTTTCGGTACACCAGTGGCTCACCTGTGTGCCGCGGCACACTGTTTGCAGAGCTCTGTTTTAGTGGATGGTCCATTCGCTTAAATTCTTTTCTTGACAACAACATTGTTAGTTGTTTAACATAGATCTCCCCAAACACTGATATAGCAGTTCTCATATACTATCCACACTCAGATGTCCCCAAGCACCTGTTACTTACAGCAGGTCTCACACCTTGATGTCTTTGAGCACCTGTTGTAGCAGCTCTCATACTATCCACACTCAGATGTCCCCAAGCACCTGTTACAGCAGGTCTCACGCTATCTACACTCAGATGTCTCCAAGCACCTGTCACGGCAGGTCTCACGCTATCCACACTCAGATGTCCCCAAGCACCTGTTACAGGTCTCACGCTATCCACACTCAGATGTCCCCAAGCACCTGTTACAGCAGGTCTCATGCTATCCACACTCAGGTGTCCCCAAGCACCTGTTACAGGTCTCACGCTATCCACACTCAGGTGTCCCCAAGCACCTGTTACAGCAGGTCTCACGCTATCCACACTCAGGTGTCTCCAAGCACCTGTTACAGCAGGTCTCACGCTATCCACACTCAGGTGTCCCCCAAGCCCCTGCTAACATCATGCCTCGCACCATTCACAGTCGGATCAGATTTCAACCCATTCCCTCCTCCAGCCATTTTCCGACACCACCAGAACACACCCCTAGAATCTCACCCAGCAGTGTTTGCCCCCAAGTGTTCTTGTTGGGTGCAAACGAAAGAAGGGTTTCTCCCACACGTGACTCGAGCCCTCCTCCGCGAATCGTCTGAAAAACCCAATTGATGCTCCCTGGAGCGCTGAAGAAACAAATCCAAGTTAGAGAACTCTGATGCAAAATTAACGAAGCCCTGCGGGGGAGGGTTGCCTCTCCTCGAAAAGGTCAGACCTCCGCTATTTTAAGTTGAAGACGTTCAACGTCCTCTGGTCGACACCTACTCCCAGTGTCTTCCAGTTCTCAGATTTTTCACACATTGTGGGAAACCTGCTGCCGAGGCCAGCGGTTCCTGATCCAAGCGCCCGCACCGTCATTGGTAACATGTCTCAATCTTGTACAAGATGCTGATGTTCACGTCCTGTTCGGAATGACCGTTACAACACTCAGTTTACTGTCGTACCGTACTACAAAACTTAACGTTACACTTGGACTCGGAAGACACGTTAACTGAATCTTAATACAAGGGCAAGAAGATCATTTCCTCGTGTTTTTTTTTTTTTTTTTCTGTATTCACGTGTTCCAATAAAAGACTAGGAAACTGCCATCAAAGTGGCTTACGTTCCAAAAAAAAAATGTATCAAAATAAAATAAAAAATGTAAAAATAAAGATCAGAGCGATATGNTTTTCCACCTTTTTTTTTGGGACGGTGCCACCCCCCCCCCCCCCCCCCACACACACACACAGACTTTGCCACCAAACTATCACCTTATGATTATACCTCAGGCATGATAGTTTGAGAGCCCCTGTCTCCCTATGTATCAGTCAATAGCTGGACACAGTTGGAGATCGTATTACTGATGTAGTCCGCGGTTTCTTTGTGTCTGCACGGGGGGACTTAATGAGACACTGGCTCCGGCGACGTACTCCCCTCTCACGTGAGCGTAATATCATCAATGGCTCTAATGTCCAATACCACGCTGGTACCGAGTTGTGCGGCCTGCGGGCATTATCAGATTACTGGTCGGATTTATTGTTAATTACAAGGTATAGTAGGCAACCCATATAGAGGGTGTCACAAATAGAATTGGCGGGGGGGGGGCATCCATAGAGGGTGTCAGAGAGTACCGTGGCATGGGGACGTCATTTTACTATGAATGGACTAATAAACAGAGGGCGTTATAACTAGATATGGTGTCGTCCACAGAGGGCGCCAGAAAGAAGCCTTGAGGGCGTTACTCTAATAAATCCTTAGAGGGCACCACAAACAGACATGGGGGGCAATCAGTGCAGAATGGGACACAAATAGGTTCAAGGTCAACAACCTCGAGCTTAGGGGTAATTGAAATTAGGTGTCAGCAATGTTCCCTTTAAGCTGCGCGGCCGCGCAGCTATCTCACAGACGCCGCGCAGCAGTTTTGAGTATCCGCGCAGCAATTTCCATGTAAGTTTGTGTTTGTGAGCTGCAATAGTTTACACACACAAAAATTGATGCTTTAAAACTTTGCACACGAACCAACAAACCTTAGAGGGAACATTGGGTGTCAGAATAAATCATTATGGCTCATAAGAATAATAAGAGTCTTTGGGAATTATTCCACACCAGCGTAGGAGGAGGGGTGATCCACCACAGACGATACATTTTTAAGGAAGAGGGGTGGGTCCATCCCAGGCGCCACATTCTGGTAGGGTATGTTGCTGCATCCATGTACTGGCATATGTGCAACGGTTGTGGAAGCGATGCGGCTACCCTAACGGCTCTTAGCGGTCATTCCTGCCATTTGTCCAACCAAATTTGTTGTTTTTCTGATCAGTAAGATTGGTTACACAAGACACATTTAATTTTTTTTTATCCACAAAACAATTTAAAATCGGGAATATCCGACAGTGGCAAAGATTCGATTACCATGTTTTTAATTTTTAAAGAATCAAACTTGAACAATACCAGTATTTTATATTTTGACTAGAGTATAAACTGCTAATAATTCCTGTAGAGGTTAAACAAGCAAAGAAAAAAAAAAAGAGTCCGGGGGAAGGTTAACAAGC